CCTGACCGCAAACTGCCCTCAGTTCAGTATGGGCTGCGCGGGATGACTTCTCAGCCTCTAGAGCCCGCCTCAGATGCCGATCTGATTGAAGGGTCAAGGGGCGAACGGCGGAGTTCACCTGCCAAAGGAAAACCAGTAAAAAAAAAAACAACTCACCACCATAGTATGGGTGGCAGCAGGAGTGAGATCAGCCCACTCGGTGACCTCCCCCAGGTATGCAGCCAGCTTGCTCTTCTCTAGGCTGCACTGGGGATTCAAGATGGTTTGGCTCCCCTGACCCTCCGAGCTGGACGTCGTCATCTCTACATTACGAGTGGACTCCTCAGAAGCCTCAGCGGCAGCTTCAGCAGGATGAGCCCCGGTAGCAGCCTCTGTAGCACGAGCCTCGACAGCGCTCTCAGCAGCAGGTTCGATGGGCTTAGCAGAGGGCTCTGCTACCACCTCGGGCCCCAGAGGCACCGCGTCTCCTTCCAGGTTGATGACAGGTGGAGTGCCTGGGGACCTGGCAGAAGAGTCTTTGCTACGGGCTTGGGGAGACTCAACGCATGCCTTCTTGGCTACGCGCTTCTTCCTCTTCATCTGGCGGAAGAGTCTTTGCTTGTCAATCTTCTCTGCCTCCATGGGACCTGCAGTGAATTTTGACATTAGCAATCCCGAAGTAAACATACATAAAAAAAGCCGAAGTAAAGCAAAACCTACCCGAGCTCAAGCCAGTCTGGACGAGCTTCTCTTCGGATGTGAAGTCTTTATAATTTAACCTGGGCTGAGCTAGCATCTGGAGTGCCTTCTTGGTCTTCCCATCTAAGATGACACCGGGGTCTTGAACAACCACCCTCCAATCAGTAGGGAAGGGCCACCCGTGCTGCTCCAAACTACGAAGTAGTCCCACTTCCAGGCCGGGACTTTACTCGGGAGTCTGTGCATGAGCTTGAAACCTGGGCGGGGAGACAGGTAGTAAGACCGCCTGTGCCCGGGGAGAGTGCCCGAAGCACTTTTATTTATGGCCAAAATGGTGCTAAGAATGTCCAAGTCGATAGGGAGAGATCGGTCAAAGCAAAGAGAAATGGTCCCAACTATATTTCATATGGAATTCGGGTGAAGTTGGTCCAAAGTAATGTTGTAGTGCACTAGCACCTCGGTAATCAAACGATGGAGAGGGATTCGGAGTCCGGCTACCAACTGCTCCCTGAAGACCACGATCTCATCAGGACCATGCTCCCATGGGAAGTTGCCGGTAGGAAGATTGTATGAGTACTCCCCAGGGAGGTGCAACCTCTGTATGAGGTCCTAGAGCCTCTCCGAGGTCATGGTGGAAGGGCCTAACTGATCCGGCACCCGACCTCGGTTGGAGGTAGACGCTAGATTACCCGAAGCCAACTGTGCGTCGGGTGGCGGAGCAGCCGAAGAGCCACCCTGGGCCGAGGTACCCACCCCGGGCTCATCGGCTAGGCTACCTACGCAAGACGACATGACAGGCAAAAAGGGAAGAAACAAACTGGAAGGGAAAAGGAAGCTCGGGAGAACTCACCAAAGGAACGCGACCGGACTGGGAGAACGGGACGAACTGGAAAACCCGAGCTAAGAGACCTCTAGCGCAAGCTCAAACACCAACGACTAAAGCTATGTGGCAAAGAAATGGCCAAGGGTCCCCCCTATTTATAGCCACAGCTACGGGCTCCTCGAGGCGAAAACAGTTTAGCGGGTTTTTGACATCCGTGAAGTCCAAATCGCGTGAGGTCCGCGCGTAAACTGGACGCGACTCGGGTCTCTCTTGATCGAACCGGGCACTAGACCGGTCCAGCTGGACGGAGCGCGCAATGGAGTGGCATAAGTACCAACGCCAAATCCACCCAGCACGTCATGACCTCCCTACACTGGGTCAATGCCGCCAGCACAGGGAGTGGGGGGCAATTGATGGAGGGTGATTTGGTCCGACCTCGCAGCACGGGTACACGTGGGCGTGACCTTGCTCAAACAGTGACAGCATGACAGCGCAATGGATGCAACCAAAACTCGGAGGGAAGGTCCCACCGAGTTCAGCTCGGCAACTGGGCGGATAAACTACTCGTCGGGAGCCACCTTACCTGCACCTCCTCCCCGGGGTTAAGGCACTTTGGGGTGCCCCGAGTTCGGGGCGCCCTGACCTCTCTTGAGGCCCGAGCTCCTCCCAATGGACCTCGGGCCACTCCCAGACAAGAACGCACCGATCCATCTCTGGACGCCCTGAGGTATAGACACCTCGGGTCAGCCAACTCGGCATAGCTTGCCACAGGCAGCTCGCCGATTACGGCATAGCCCGACACAAGGTAACCCGCGGAGGGGTGGTACGGCGTACCGTAGGAAGATCTCTTACCCAACCACCGTACCCGACAAATCTGGGACTGCCGCCATCTCCCTTGCCAGGGAGGGTCGTGCCAGCCACTTTTAGAGGGTATCGTACACCTGACAGGCACGGACCCGGCAGTAACGACCCCGTGCATGCCGCCTCAGCTTTGCTTGTAACGGCTGTGGCAGGCTGACAGTGGCGGTTGTACCTGTCTTGTCAGAGGCCAGTAGGCCCGATGAAACGGAATTCTGTTATAAGGACCCTATTCTCAGAAAACGGGTATCTTAAAAATCTCTTGCGCTATCTCACTCTTAGCTTTCATCTTCTCTTTGCTTCTTGCTCAGAATACTGACTTAATCGTCGGAGCGTTCCCGCCGGACGAACCCCCTAGGGATTCTTCTTCTTCCTCATCTCAGGTACTTCTTGGGAAGCCATGCGAGTGCTAGTTAGGAGTGACCGGATTGCGCACCACCTTTTTTTTTTTAATTTCTATATTAGTATCATGTACTTTGGGTCTACTGTCTTGTCCCGTGCCAATTCAATACTCAAACTTTCAAAACGTGTGAAATTAATATTACTCTTAACCAGCTGTCACTTATACGTGTACATGACATCATGTGTGATTTAAAATTTTTGAAAATATCAAAATTACCCTTTAAAATAAATAAAAGGGATAAAACATCGTTCATCATCTTCTTTCTCAACCCTGTAAATGAACTCCCATCTTCACCTGCCTCTCTTCCTTTTTCACCTTCTTCTCTCCCTCTCTCCCACTTCTCTTGTGGGTCTTCAATTTTATCTCTCACGCCGTTGCCGATGATGTCGCCATCAAGAACAAGCTCACTGCTTCTCTTCCTCCAACCCCATCAGATTGGTCAGGTAACGACCATGCAAATGGATGGGTTAACTGCGACGCCAACGAGCGAATCACCGCTTACGAATTTGCAGTCTCTCAGGCTTTCCTATAATAATCTCAGGCTTTCCTATAATAACCTGACGGGGTCTCTGTTGCCTTCTCTCAATGATTCTGATATCCAGAACCTCTGGCCCAGGTGCAAGCAATGCAAAAATGGTCAAGAAATAAGATGAGAAGCTCATATAATTTAAAACCCAAGTATATGTATGGTGAAATCCATGCCGGAAGACATGGGGCAATGCGACGAGAGGGAAATGCAGGCTCTGATCTGGGATTACATCAACTCCTATTTTGATTCCTTTGCTCTGAGGTCTGCAGTTGAACTGGGAATCTCAGACATCATACATAGTCATGGGCATCCCATCACACTATCGCAGCTCTCTGCCGCATGTCTCTCTATTGATGCCAACCCAGATTGCTTGCATCGCTTAATGCGATATCTGGTGCGCATAGGAATCTTAGTCGAGAATACCGATGATGATGATGGAGAGAAGTTTGGACTAACTTCTCTATCAAAACTTCTAGTACAGAGTGGAGAACAATATGATTCCATGGGCCATCTTGGACTTGAAGGTGTTGATGGAGCTATGGCATCACTTGACATGGAGCTTGGACGGAAGAGCAAGCGTTACAGCATCTGAGAGAGTTTACGGGACAATTTTGGGACATTAGTAGGGAAACAGAGATCAGAGAAAGAAGCCAGGAAAGTATCCAACGCTCCATGAGTTTGCGTTAATGCATACGGAGGGATTCAGAACGCCTAGTTGATAGCTTTGAGACAAAACGTAGGCTGGTGGAAGTGGTGGTGTTGGGTGCAAGAGGGTATAAAGTTAGGTTGCATTGTGTTATGGGCTTCATTTTTGTCAACGTTGGATGGTTAATTAAAAAAATTAGATGATACTCAAAGATCATTTGCATCATTTTACATGTTAACGTTAGATATTAAATTGGCATATTTTAAATTTGCATCATTTTACACATTTTAAACACCTGACAGGCCCAAATATAAGGTATTAATATGAAAATTAGGGGAGTACTTTCACCGCTGTATTTTCATATCTCAACGTTCTATAATTTATCAGCTCACCGTGTAAGAAAATAAAGGAGGGGTAGTCTAGTTGGTTAGGATACTCGGCTCTCATTCGAGAGACCCTGGTTCGAGTCCCGCAACGGAAATGGTTTTTTAAGGTTTCTTTCTCCTTATGAAACCAAAGCAAAAAGCCCTTTTTTTTTTTTGAGGCCAAAGCCAAAAGCCTACCTCTTTCTTTATACAGAAATTTAAGCTAAGCCAAAATATCCATCATTCATAGGCTTAAATAAAGATAGTCTTTGGTATTCAATTAATAATTGAGCCATGGTGATCTTCATAAGAAATGTCGAATTGAATTATTAAATGGTTAATCTGGGTTAACTACTAGATTCGACAACAGTTTTACAATTGAATGGTTGATAGTTGTTGTTGTTATTGTCCCCAATTAAACTAAACCGTAAGTCTGCAAGAGTGTAACTACAACCCGACCTCCTTTAATTAATTTTGGTATTGGCGGTCTGATGTTAACAACGTTATGGTAATGTGCATGGAAATGGGTCATAAATGACTACTATGACATCAAATGAGGAGGTTGGGTTGGGCCTTGGGCGGGTATCTCTGTTGGAAATGGGAATCCTAAAAGGCTAAAATTAGGGGAAATGGGTAACCGTTCGACAGTTTTTTTTGGCGGTTTTGTCTGTTGGAAATATCCTTTGTTTAACCTCAAAGCAGCGGTGTTGGTAGTTCTACCTCACCAAATTGTTAGGATGCAAATAAATTTTCCGATTTGCGCATCCATTTGTGTTTTTAAATTACAAATCAAAACCTATCTACACACCACATTCACAATTCCTTTGAATTTTGCAGGAAAGGAAAAGGAATTAGGAATGGCGGCCACAAACGCAAACGCAAACGCAATGGCTTCGCAGAAGAAAATTGTCACCAAAAGATCCTTGAGCTCAGACATGGACCGCTGCGTCAAACAGATGTTGAAACTCATCGATGATGAAGGAGATTCCTTTGCCAAGAAGGCCGAGATGTATTATCAGAAGAGGCCTATTCTCATTGCTCATGTTGAGGATTTCCATCGCATGTTTAAAAGTCTGGCTGAGCGCTATGATCATTTGGCTGAGCAACAACCACCCCAGCCCCAGGGATCTGCAGGCATTAATGATCTTCCCTCTGAGCCAACATCTCCTAAGTCTTCCTCTAATCCTCCTGATCGAAAGCCCCTCCGTCGTAAGTCATCTGGTCCTCCTCGTGCTGCTGGTTTTGATTTCTTTCTTGGCCCTGCTGGCGGTGGCTCCGATGCTTCATCCATTAGAAAGGATGGTGATGACTCTTCTTCTTCTTCACCCGGTTCTGCCTCTGATTCCGATGGTGCATCCTCGTCTATCAACAAGTACTCGTCTCAAACTCAGTTGCATGGTGATAGGGAACAACTGCGCCGCAGGATAATTGAATTAGAAATTGAGCTCGGCCACGCAAACGAGAAGCTTCGGTTGGCAGACGAGATCAATACCCAAGGCTCATCAAGGTTTGAAGAGTTGCAGAGTAGATTTACACAATATGAGCAAGAGCTGCGTGTTGCAAATGAAAACCTTCGCCTTTCAACGGAAGAGATTGACAAGTTGAAGCTTCAACTCGAGGAGACGGATTTATCACAACGAACCCATGATTTACAGGTTAAGCTTCAATTAACGGATACGGATATTCAAATGCCAGAGACGGAGACTGAAAACAAATCGGAGGAAAGCCAGGTTTGGGAGCTGCGAAAGCGGATTCGTGAACTGGAAGCGACCATTTTGGTCGCAGGTGGCAGGATTGAGGCGTTGATGGGTGAGCTAAACATCACAAAGCAAAACCTTCAGGGTAAGGAACAAGAAATTGTTAGTTTGACGCTTGAACTTGAGAAAAGAGGATCCTTGGAAGCTAACCACAAAGCTCAGGTATCAGAGATGATGAATAGGATAAATAGGTTGGAATCGTCCGTTTTAGACCGAGATTGCAACATTGAAACATTGGAGGAAACACTCGGAATCACAAAAGAAAAACTCGGTTGGTCAGAAGAAGAGATTGCTAAGTTGAAGGATGAAATGAAGAAAAATGAATCATCGGAATCTGTTGGTGGCTTGCAAATTGATCAGTTGGAGTCAGCAGGTGTATCCGGAGAGGAGGCTGAAATCGGATCGGAGAAAAGATGGATATTGGAGCTGCAGGAACAGATCGTTAGATACAAAACGGATATCTCCGACCGAGATAATAAGATCAAGGAATTGCAAGCAGCAATATCAAAAACTAAGGAGAACTTTTCTCAGGAGAAATCACGTCTCAAGGCTGAAATTTCGAGATTGTCACGTGAAGTCGCAGTGCTAGAAGCAAAAGTGAAAGAATGGGAATCGATGGGCCACAGTCTGGAGGAAGAAATCAAGCGGGTTGAGTCGGAGAAAACGGAAATGCAAAGTGTTCATGGGATTGAGAAAGTGGGAATGCAAGGTGAGATTGAGGAGTTAAAGGCGGAGATTTGGAGGAGAGTTGAAGAGGTAGAAACATTGAATAAAAGCTTTGAGACACTTAAACAGGAATATGATGTGCTGATATCAGAGAGAGACGGGATGAATGACAAGGTACAAACACTGCTGGGAGAATTGACGGGTAGAGATGAACAGATTCATAAGATGGGCGACGATTTGGAACAATTAAGGAACGAGCAGATGGAGGTGAAGAAGGGATGTGAAGGGACTCACATACTGGTGGAAGAGCTTCAATCAAGGGCGAAACAACTAGAGGAAGAGGTGGAGAAGCAGAGAACGACGATCGTGGATAGGAGTGAAGAAAAACGGGAGGCCATAAGGCAGCTTTGTTTCTCACTGGATCATTACCGGGATGAGAATCAGAAGCTTCGTCAGGCTTATCTCACTGCATCATTGCCGTCTTTGGTCTATAATCTTCTATGAGCTTCTCTTCCTCTTGTTATCTCACTCTTTTCTTTTATAGTTTTTATTCGTTTTATGTTTTATTACACATACATTTACACACACACACTTATACTCTTATATTTTATCTTATACCTCTATTTTTATTATTAAATTTTAAAAACCAACTATGTAAAATCCAAATTTGATATTTGAAATTTGAATTTCCAATATTCAAGCTTCCTTCCTTAATTTTTACCTTCCTACTATAAGCAGAAGGCACATTTCCACGTTTCCTCGTGCTTCCACTAATTTATAACCATGTTTAATTTACTCGTTCCCATTTTACCAGCTTGATTGATATAGGTGATGTTTGGTATCATTGCTATTTCTACCTGTAACATTCCGAGATTATCGATATAAATTAGTTATTTGATATACAATTATTATTTTAGGTTGTTTATGGTTGAAATAGATATACATTAGGAATGCATTTTTTAGAGTCCGTCTGCAGAAACATCAAATTGGTGTTTGAACCAATTAGGACAACTTTTTTTTTAAGAGTGAATTTCATTTCATTAGTGTAAATGCATAGGAGTGCAAGACTCTGGATCTTCTGCCCACGCCTACCCACAATACATCACCCCCTGTGAATTGGGAACATCTCCCCCTGCATAATACTATGCAGAGGATGAGATGTTTTTCATATGTGGCTAAGATAAACGTGGGCAGGGTTCTCATGGGTAGGAGATTCGGGCTCGAAGTGCAAATGGACTAAGGCCCGTTTGGTTCATAGGAATAGGGGTCTGGAATCAGAATCAGAATGGACTATTCCGATTCCAACTACTTGGTTGGGCAGAATTGGAATCCCATTTCCATTCCTGCTACAATGGCATTCCCCCATTTGAGGGAATGGTCATTTCTTGCCCTTCTTTTAGAAATGAAATCTCATTCCTATTGATTTTAATTCTCATTCCCATTCCTATCTGAACCAAACAGACTATGAGAATGGACCATTCCGATTTTGATCCAGATTCCAACTACGAACCAAACGGACCATCTTAAGTGTAAATCCTTCGTTATTACAACTTACAAGCTGTGAACCAGCATATTAATAAGGTCTCCTACTAAATAATTATAGAAAGATTTAAGATCTAATCCGGTCTTAGACCGGCTTCAATCAGGGCAAATCCATGCCCACACCATTCTAATAGCTTTTCCCAATCTTGCATTGAGAATATCTCCCCATGAAATAAAGCATATAAGTATGAAGATATTCTCAATGCAAGGCAGTAAAGGCTGCCCAAATAGAGTTTGCCTTGACTGAAGTCGAATTCATTCATGATCAAGGTTTTAAAAACCGACCCAGAAACAGAACCATTTTGTCCACCGGTTTTTGGGTCAGCGGTTCAACTGTCTGGTTCAAACGGTTCAAACGGTTTGAATATTATAAATGGTGATATGTCATCTTACCCATTAGATTGGAATATTAGGGTAAGATGCAATATAAATAGAAGAGAAAAAGGGTTTCACTGTTTGAGAATGAGAGACTGTCGATGGCTGAGAGAGTTTAGAAGAAGAAGAAGAAGAAGAAGGAGAAGGAGGAAGTCGGCTGTAGTGTTGACGACGACGGCGACGACGAACTACAACAATAGTGATGTTAGATCTGAGATTTATCTCTTTCTAAGATCTGTCATCTAAACTCTTAGCCTTCTCTTCCAGATCTCTCAAATCTCTCTCATTGATCTCTTAGCCTTCTCTTCCAGATCTCTCAAATCTCTCTCATTGATATCTTAGCCTTCTCTTCCAGATCTTAGTCTTCTAGATTTCATATTTGAATTATTCAAATCTGACTCTTATTTAATAAACCGCAAACCGTTCTCCTGATTGAATTATTCAATGATCAAGCCGTCTGGATCAACGATTTATTGACTAATTCAAAGATTTTTAACTAAAGATCGGATTTGGGGTAAAATGAAACCCATTGCCTAAACGATTGGTCCGACCGTCCGGATCAAGTACGGTTCGAAAACATTGTTCACGATACATTTTAAACAATTTCTAAAAGAGTTAGGAATGAATACGAAGAATCAGATGTGGACAAAGTAGTATGCATTATCATATGTCGTCCACGCGTAACAACTGAGACGACAGCTGGCGAGCAGCCAGCTACCCGGTTTTTAACTCGACTTGGTGGTTGACTTTTTCAGCTTCAATGACGTAGTCGTCACGTATGAAAATTGAGAGCAACAGGTAGAATGATAGATAAGATATTTAATCCTAAAAGGAAGGAATTGGAATTAACTGAACGCGTGTCAGTGTGTCATTGGGAGGTGGGGTGGCAAAGGAGTGCTGTGCTGCGACCGTTACTAACCCCAGACATCTCGACCCACTTCACGTTTTCGTTGATTCCTCCCTTCCCTAAAATATTCCTAATTTTTTTATTTTAACCAAAATATTCATTGTCTGTTATTTTGATTTCCAATTTCCAATATGCGTTGACGACTGTTGTCGTTGGTGGGGATCTCCCTCAGAAGTGGCTGAACTCAACTCTCCTGCATTTAATTTATTTGTATAGTGTTTATTTTTCTTGGTTTATAGTAATTGAAAAAAACGTTGACGACTTATATCCTCTCGCATATTTTTATTAAAAAAAATCTTCACTTTTCCCTATTTCTTTTAAATTTAGCCTAAGTTTTGGAAATCTCCAAGACTGAACAGTTTTTTTTTTTTTTTTTAATGTAACATACTATTAGTCTACTACTCTACAATATCCTTTGAGGTTTTCATCAATAAGGTTGTGTTTGGTTTGAAGGAAAAAAAACTTTATTAAACCTTATATAAATTTTTCTACTTTTCGCTTCCTTTCCTTATCTTTTCTTTCAAATCAAACATAACCTAAAGATTCTTGAGATGATGAAATTTATTATACTATGATACTATAACTCCATCTCAGATTTGGATTTTGGGGGGTTCATCTCTTTGTCCATTTGCACGGAGTATAAAATGACGAAAGGAGGTCACTCAAATCCAAAGTTCACCGTTTAATTGATTTTTAATACGGAAGATCTATATAATTGGTTGGCAATTGCCATGGTATTTGATTCAAAAATAAATTGGATGGAAGAGCTAACGATTGAATAGTTTTTTTTTTCCTTTTTCGGGATTTGGTGATACACACCACTAATACCCCCTCCCAAATTTGGTGGTTGAGGAAATTAAATCCGTGTTTATGCTAGAGCCAAGAGCAAATCAACTAATATACTAAATGAGCCACAATCATTTAGTTGACTAGTCTAGGTAGGTGGTTCGCATTAGTGCTTAGAATATCATACCATTTTGTAAAATTGGTGTTGGATACGTGAAGTTATAAGCACTGTTTTTTCAGAAAATGGTGTTTAGTTTTTACTTGGAACCAGTACAGTCATATAGATGTTTTTTTTTTAAAAAAAACAGCATTGGTTTTGTTTGATACCAATGTTACCAACAACGTTTTCAACATTGATCTATATTATTCGACATCCAAGATGATGTCACATCATTGTACTGCTGGCAGCAACGTATCATTTTCTCAAAAAATATTGAATTTGACATAATTCCAAACGACACTTTCTCAATTTCCAAAGTATAATATGGAGCAATGTTTTTTTTTCTAAAAAAATAATACCAAACAAGAAGACATTATTTGAAGCACCACTTTCTCTAATGTGGTGCCTATGTGATGCCATTTTCTAAGAAAATAACATTAATACCAAACATCACTTAAAATGTAGGAATGACATGCTTCTATTAAAAGAGAATTGATCAATCAAAACCCATCCGTGAATTTTGATAAAATTTATGGAATTGATTAATATATTTATGATAATTATTGATTGGTCACAAATTTTTGGAATATCATGTATTTTCCATATCATTATCGAACCTGTTGGTAGCACCAGGCACTTTATTAGGGTAAGGCAGCTAATTAGTTTGTCAAAAAACAAGTAATATTAGAATAATGTTAATGGGGCGTATCGTTAATCGTAAGAAATCAGAAGGGAGGTTAAATAATTTTTCCATCTATTTTTTTCTTTCAATCTCTTCGTTTTTCTGTCTTTTTTTGTTAATAAAATAAAAAACAAATCCGATTTTCCTTTGACTTGACTTCTCTCTTTACATGGCAACAAGCAAACAAGTGGTCTTGTTAGTCTTCGTCGACACGTAGGATTGGTTGACACGTCACCAAACTTATATAAATACTTATGGCACCAATTTCAACGCTCCCCTCCTCGGCTCCTCCCCTTCTCTTCCTTTCGCTTTCCCGTGTTTCAGTCCACAGCAGCTAGCCAGCTACAGGAAGAGAGAGAAAGACAGAGTCGCAGACAGAGAGAGAGAGAGAGAGGGATAGACAAAAACCCAACGACCAGCTTTCATTCCACCATTGACAAGCGTTCGAAATACGAAAGAGAGACTCCGAGATGCATATGCACTTAGAAAGACGATAGACAAACGGAGAAAGAAGATTCATATGCTTGGGAAAGAAGAAAAGATCTTCGAATTACTTTCCTTTAGTCTTCATCTCTCCTTCGTGAAAGGTTCGTGGTTTCGCGCAAGAGCTTTCTTTATAAATGTACATAGACCTGGCAATTTCGCTTCTCGTGATCGTTTTAGTCACATTTACTTTTGTTTCTCTTTCTCTGCCAACTTTTTTAAGAGCTATGAATTCTTCCAATCTGAGTTATGTATGCCGGTGACAAGCTAATTTCTTTCTAATTCGATTGGAGAAATCGTTTAGGCTATTAGCATGTATGCTTCTTTGGAGTACGCCTCTTGTACGATTCAGTTTCTGTGATCTGGTTGAGTTTCTACTATTTTCTTCTTTGACAATGTAAGTTTATATTTTTTAAATTACAGACAATGATACTAGTTTTTCGATTTTTTTTTCTCTTTTTTTCCTAGAAAGTTAATGTAGTAATGCATATTCAGGTCTTACATAGATTTATACAATTTTTTAGTAGATTTGGAGCTACCTTGTCCAATTGTAATTTGTTCACTCTTAAAATTCTCTCCTCTTTCAAGTCCTGTTCTGTTCTGTGAAGCTGGAATACTTATTTGTTCTATTTCTTGAATTTCTTATATAGACTTTCAGCTAACCTTTCCTATAAAACTTTGTTTAGCCCAACTAGATATTTAGCTTTTGTGTAATCGATGCACCTCTTCTTTGCTTTCTAAGGGTTTTATACTATATGCATTTTTTATCAAAATCTCTGCATTCTCCCTCCTGTACATCTGTATCAGGTAGTCAAACTTGGTTTCTTTTCCATTTTCACTTTCCAAAATTTTTCTTCTGGTCCCAAATCCCCTAAACTCTCAAGAGCAGCCCAGTGCACGAGGCTCCCGCCAATGCGGGGTCTAGGGAGGGATAAATGTTACTCTTGTCCTTGTCCTTGTTTATTTGGTGCAATGATGATTTCAAATCCACCTACTACTAAATAAGATTGTTGGGGTTTCTTCCTTGTATGGTCTCAATAGAGCTTCCATGGGGATATGTTATTATCATGTCCCCATATTTTAACATTTTAAGTAGGTGAACCATTTCCTAGGAATATCTCATGAGGATATCTAATATAATTTATGGATGAACTACTTCTTAATATATCTAATAAATATGATGCCTAATGTTGTTTATCTATTACTTATATAAAACAGGGGGTGTTTGACCTCCCTTTGGTTGATCATTCCTACTTTTCCCTCCTATTTCATTGCTTTTCTCTGTCATTAATTTCTTCTCTATCGAATAGGAAGTTCAAATTTTTGGTTTTGAAGTTATGGATAGGAGGATATGTGTTGCATGCTTCCTGATTGATTTTTATGGTGTTTGCTACCAGATTCTTAGAAGAATATGACTAGAAGAACCGCTACTGGAGTTCGATTAGTTAAATGTCCCAAATGCCTGGTAGTTCTTCAAGAGTCAGCTCCTCTGTATAAGTGTGGTGGATGTGACACTATTCTGCAAGGTATATACTCTTTTAGCCATAGCCATAAGGTACATATATTAACTTCATATATTACCTAGGGTCGGGAAGGACGTGGGCCCACCATTCATTTGGTTCTACCTAGGGAGTCTCTTGCACTTTAAAGAAAATAGTTCGGATTATTCTAACTCTCTGATCTGTAAAAACATGTCAGTAGACTTATTTTTTTCTTTCTTTTTTTTTTTTGAGAGAGAGAAAGAGTAACTGAATTTATTAAGAAAGAAAAGGAAGGTATATGAGATGATGTACAAAAGGAAACCCAAAACAGAAATTACAAAGGCAGGTTTCTGTCACTGTAAAGAGCTTCCCTAAGAGCGCCAGATTTGGCCCAACTATCAAATAAATGGTTCAACTCCCTATGAATCCAGATAAGATTCACAATTGTGGAATTCAAAAATGTCTCTTGCTTCCATCAGAAAGTGAGCAAGCCTCCAAGGACCGCTTTCTCTCCTAGCCAGTTTATCGTGTTGACAGAATCTCCTTTGATAGCTAGATTAGAGAATCCCTGTTCTTTTGCTGTTCAAAGCCCAGTAAGCGCAGCTAGAACCTCAGCCTTTCTGGAGTCAGTAATCCCAATGGATTCACTGAAAGCCCACAAAATGCTTCCGTCTCTTCTTCTTAACACACCTCCAATTCCAGCTGTACTGGGATTTCTGAAAGCACTACCATTAAAATTTTAAACAAAATCCTCCTCTTCCCTATCTAGAAGGAGCTTGGGAACCTCTTCGAGGGATGGGGGAAGAAACAAAACCTCCACCACATTCATCTGTAGATCATTCAAAGAAATCCCTTTGAATTCTGTAGAACTCAGCACCCACAAGTTACACAAGTAAGCTATATGAGAGATTAAATCACCCACAGATCTACCTTTTCCTTCAAAAATGTGGTTATTTCTCCCTTTTCTACCAAGATCACTACCTTGCAATTGCCAAAGGAAGTTAACAAGGTTAGTCTTCCTCCTTTTGAGAGATAGCCTTTCTTCCACATGGCCATCTGTTTTGGCATGCCATTTCTGTGATGACCAGAATACTAGGTAGAACTTAGGATCCGTTTGGTTTATGGGAATAGGGGTCTGGAATCGGAATCAGAATGGTCCATTTCGGTTCCAACCGTTTGGTTGGGTGGAATCGGAATCCCATTCCCATTCTTGGTGAAATGGCATTTCCCTCCCTTGGGAATGAGAATCCATTCCAGCCAATTCCAATTCCCGTCTGAACCAAATAGGCAGGAGGAATAGACCATTCCGATTTCAATTCCAATGGATTTCGATTCTGATTCCAACTACAAACCAAATGGACCCTTCGTTACTTTCACCCAATTTAGTTCATACTTTTGTACACTACACGTAGTAGGTGTCAACCAGATACACCTCATTGTTATGATAATTCATATCATATTTTGGATGTGAGAGATAGTCCTAAATAGAAGCCAAAAAATTCTTAATGCCAGTACTGTTATAACTTATGTCACTGATGGATTATCATTATGGGATCCAACAATATGTACCTTTACTTCCTGGTCCATTCTTGTTTTCTTTTCAAGGGCCATTGCCCAATGTTAGTCCTGGCTATTCAGAGTCTTAGGAAGGGTAGGCTGTATATGGAGCTAACCAGCCTAACCTTTGGCATTCTTTCATAAAAGTGGCAGATCTCAAAGTAGAACCTACATTCTCATGCTTGTCAGCCCGGCACTTTACCATTGCACCAGGAAATGGCCCCTAACCATGTTTTATCTTTTGCAGCAAAAATTCACAAAGATGGGAAAAGTGTAACCCCAGAAGAGCTTGAAAAGAATCCTATGCAGAAGAATGGCCCTGAGGCTAACTTCGAAGATAAAGAATCGGCAAACTCTAGTAAAAAAACAACTCCTTGCATGGGAGAATCCCCTCCTAGGTTGAAGAGTAGGAAAGAAGAAATTGAACCAGGGGATTGCAATGAGGTGTCACCTGGAAATAGGAAATATCCAAATGAACTTACCACATCAAGTGACCTGGATTTTTCATTGCAGAAAGAATCATCACCAGAAGCTGGAGCAAATATTGAAGTCAAAAGAAACAATAAGAACAGCTCTAACTTAAGATGCCCAAGTCCTGACAGCCAACTATCTTCTAAAGGGAGGAGCTCAACCTCGGCAATTCAAAAGGTGTCAGATGAGGGAAATCCCTCAAAGCCCAATTCCTTTCCTTCGAATGAACAGGTGGAGCAATCTCAGAAGATTTCAGCCCATGACTTCAACCACATTACCCCAAGAGATACAGTGGAAACTATAGAGCCTATTGACCATGGTATGACTTCTGAGGAGCTCATTGGCACACTTCAAGGTATTTCAAAATCTCCAACCAGAAGCTCTTATGCTTATGATGGTAGCGTATCTTCTTATGATAACTGGGATGATATGCTCTCTGTAGATTTTTTGGGTACCAAAGACAGGGCTATGAGAAATAGTTCAAAAGTACAATCTCAAGCTAGGGAATTCTTTTCAATGTCATCAAGTGTTAGTGAACATGGCCCCGCTTCGATGGAGGGCCTTAATAAAGATAATGATGAATTACAAGAGCCTATTAGACAGGGCATTCAGGCCCAAGGAAATCTGAAGTCCCAGGGTGTTAAAGGCTTCCATCCAGTACAACACTGGAGGAGATCAGAAAAAGATGGCTTCCTTTCTAGAAAGGCATTCTATACAAGGGGTTTGCCCACTTTTTATGAAAATGGTAGCTCTTCAAACTATGGGCATCAAAACTATAAACACAGTTCAAGCTTGTATTCATCTGACAAGTTTGAGTATTGTGAACAAATGGAACTCCTAAGAAAAATCGATGAACTAAGAGAACAGTTTAATAGACTGTACAACCAGAGAGGAAAGCTAAAGGGTAGGGTTATTGCCAGATGCAGCCAGGAAAAGCAAAGACCATTGTATTATAATTACAAAAAACCTGACTCAGAGACACTCCGGTTCTACGATGGAAAATATTCTCAGTATCCTTGTGGGGCATACATGCCAGTAAATAGTGGGCACCAACAATGTAAATATGTGCAAACGCCTTTTTCAGGACAGGCTACACATTGTCAACACCATGTTGATTATTCCTGTTTGCGTTGCTGCTCAGAAGACTGGCAATGTCTGACACAGTTCCCTTCAGCCAGCTTGTGTTATAACAAAGGACCATGTGGAAGCCATCCTGGTCTAAGAAGTTGCGACCCTTATACCTCCACTTCTGCCAGCCCACAGCAGCACAAGGACTCCAATTTCCACCCATGTGGTTGTAAAACACTCTCCCATGAGCAGAGGCTAGACCATGAAGTGCAAAAATCATATTTCAGGGAGAAACATCATTCAAACAAACGCCATTGCCTGCCCATTGGAGGTGGAGCCCCATTTATAACCTGCCACAGTTGCCGGGAACTAGTTCATCTACCTGCAGATTCTCTTGCACAAAAGAGATGTCTTCGGTTACAGTGTGGTGCTTGTTCAAATATACTATCATTCTCACTTTTTAAGAGAGGTCATATCATTCCTTACACTTCTAGTCAGATGTTTTTTCCACCAAGTGAAGTTGGTAACAGTAATGATGCCACTGCTGGGATGAAAGTGGCATCTTCATCTCATTCTCGTGACTATCCACCAGGGGATCCAGTGTCCTATTCTGAAGAGTATGGACTCCCTTCTTGCAAAAGTTTTTCAACGGATGGTGAACCTGCTTTCTTGCCACATCGATTGCCCAGACTTCAAAGTAATACAGGTGTTAAAATGGATCCTTTGAGTAGTTGGCCTAAGACAGTGGAAGAGAGAAATAACTCAGCCTTGAAAGAGCCTTGGAACATGTTCAAGAATTCAGGAGAAGCCTCTACGTCCTCCAGTCAGTACTCCAATGCAAAAAAATTGGAAAAGCTATCCATGGAAGTAGAAGTGGTACAAACTGCTTCGCCACTTCACCGGCTTATGGGATATTCTTCACCAAGTGAAATGATTTATGGGACTGCTGCTGTGTCAGACGCTTGTAGCGATCCAGAAAGAAAGTTGCTATCCAGGGTTTGACAGACGATTGATGTCCTAAGTGCATAGAGGGAAATCATGTGCAATTATTCAAAATTATATTGAAAGCAGTGAAAGGGGCTTTCATCAATTGAAAGATTTGAGAAAAGAACCATGAAAAATGGAGGCATGCCTTGAAAACTTGTGAGTGGAAGAGTTGTCCCTTCTGTCCAGAAAGTCCGGAACAAGCACAACCTGTTATCCTTTCCTTCATAATAAGTGCATTTTCCATTGCTTTTAACATCACTTTATCTGAGCTTCTGTAAGGGAGACACTATTCTTCTTGGTTCTCTTAGATTTTCTTTTCCATCCATTTCTTATACAAGTAGGAAAACATTTTACTTGATTTCTCCGAAACCTATCTTAATTCCCATGTACATACATATTCAACACTCAGCATTCTTGTTAGTTTGTTTTAACTGTGTATTCATAGTCCAGTGGTGGATATGACATGTGTAGAACATAGTTTGCGACTTTGTGTACCTCTGGCTCTGGAAAAATAAAGTCCTTCAAAGTACTGAGGTTGCACTTGCAGTGAAGGAACAGGTAAGGTCAAACCTCTTAAGAAACCCGGGCTCCACTTGCTGAAGCCCAATTTGGTTAATATTGGGCATGAGTCATCAGTCATCCAGACTAGCAAATTTGGGAGGTATCAGATAACAGAACATATTCACGGGGCGTTGTGATTGGTCAAAGCCTCTCCGGCATGATATCTTTTCTAACCGACTCACACGGGCCAATTATTAACTAGCATTAACATTAACATAAACAAAGGAACAAAGTCATGGTTTCTTTGGGAGTGCTATAATTATGTTACAGTAAAAAAGTCTTTGCATACATGCCACATGCGTACATATTTATATAATTTTTGCATATGCCAATACGTCGGATTTGGATCGAATGGGATTGCCAAAGCCTCAACCCTAACCCTATTTTTATGAGTTTTTTTTTTTTTTTTTGTCACATAACTCAACTTTAGGTTGTGTTTATGTTTTCAGGCCCTGGTTTAAACTTTAAATACTCAACCCTAGAAGTGTAATGTGGGTCATGCCGACTTTTTTGGGATGTCTGTACTGTAGTGGGTCATGCCATGCCAACACACGGGCATATAAATAATGTATTAATATATATGTGGGTCGGTCCAGGCCAGCATGCGGGCTGTGCCATGCTTGGGCCATGGGCCATGCCAGCACAGACCAATTGTTTGTGTCATATGCCTGCCCATGGACCTCAAAACCCCAGCCCCAGCCCCAGCCCCATCCCAGTATGGCACGGGTTTGAGCAGGGCCATGCATCCAAGTTGTGCTGGCCGTTCTGACCCACAGGCGGCCTGGCCCACTTTATAATTCTGTTTATCCTTTAAAGCTATTTTGTGTCAAAATACTAGATGGTCTAGCACATAATGAAAGCTTTACTAGGCCCTCATTTAGAAATGCATGGTTATGGTTTGAATTTTGGAAACAACAGTCTGCGAAACTAAGGGTGAGTTTGCTGATAGAAAATAAAATATAAATAGAAAGTTGAGAAAAAGCTGGCGAACAGAATAACTTGTTTAATTTGATAGGGGCCACACAGTTTAACAATGGGAAGAAATATGAAAAATGGGAGAAGAAAATTAAGGCCCCATTTGGCACGTCTTTTTGTGCGGGCCATTGGCTTTTTTAAAAATCTGGCAAATCATATTTTAATCTTTTCCCGTTTGATTGGAAAAAGAGATAATCGCCAAAAATCACAGCCCCGAAAAAACACAGAAAACCCATTTTTGGCATTTTTCAATAAGCTCTAAATAGAATTTTTTACCTTTTTTCAACTCATCTTTGCACAGACAAATGCACCACCTTAACCAAACAGTCTCTAAACTGTTAAAATCTTAATGCAAAAACTCACATTATCTTTTGACTGTCAGAACTACCAAAAGATATTTCAAAAAAGACTTGTCAAACTGCCCTAAATTATCTTCTTTTCAATTATTTCTTTAATTCCTTTTTCTTTCTTTTTTCTTTCTCGGGAAAAATAAGATGAGTAATTGAGAGGAATAGTAACGCAGATGTGAGATAGGTGACCATGCAAAAGAACGAAGACCACCAAGATAACCATAGAAAACTTCGAAGAGGCGACTATTATCCTGTAAAATGATATACACCGTATTCTAATTATGAAATGTAGAGAAATTCAAGTTGATGCTATCACAATAAAAGAAAACTTGGTTGTATAAGTTGATCAAAAAGTATTCCTAATGCTACTGCGGTTGGACACGATGGTGATTCTTTGGTCCTGGAGCATGTTCAGATTCGGAGCCAATAGCCGGGTATAACGGTCAAAATAGAGAAGCTGTTTCATAAGAAGTGCAAACTCCCGAGGAAACCGTAGCCCATATGATTCACTAACTCGAACCTGCATAACAGATTTATAGCATATAAGTGGGGGGCCACATGCAGGAAACTTGGGGCCTGTGGGGAAAAAAGGCTGAGACGTTTAAAGTGATGAAACGATTGGGAATCAGGTTAATTTTGTGCATGCATCGTAATATAGGCCAAAATAAACAGCTGAGACCTGGGACCGAATCCCTCCTTCACCCCAATTCGGATCTCCTATCCTCTACATGAGGAACATGTTCTCAATGTGCAGTTGTCGTGACATGTGGGTGTGGTTCTTGTGGGCAGGAGATCCGAACACCCTTCACCTAGGGTTGGGGGGTGAACACCTGCATGCATAACATTCCGGGTCCCTTTGAACAGGAGCATTTCCATGGACCATCTTATCTTACCACATCAAGAAATAAAGCATTCATCTGCCTCTCATCCACAACTAAATTAGCAGAAATGGCAGCTGCATTTGCATTGGGTCCCCTGGTTGCTGCAACGACAATCTCTGTATCCAAATCCTGCATTACAAAAAGGATCACTTTATCCATGGGATAATAACTCAAAAAAAAAATAATAATAACAGCTAGCTAACAAAATTAAAGTAATAAGGTCCTTTTCCTCCAGGTTTTTTAGACTCCAAGGACAATCATCTATCCACCAATAACAGCACTAGAGCCAATCCTCAGTTTCCTGCAAGATCAGTATCTCAGCAGAAGCTGTTGGTATTCTGCTAAATTATGATTATTCGTATCATCAGGAGAAAAAAAGAAAAAGAAAAAAAGGGAAAAGCATAAAGCACTTGGTGATTGTTTCTCCCTCCCCCCATGTGAAATATCACTACATTCCATGCTTTTTATGAATTAAGACTTCAACATGGTTGTTAATTCAATTGTTTGTGAAAGAATATGCTGAAGCATTTCCATTAGTTCATGATCTCTTAGGTGCATTCTAGCCTCTAGGGGGAGATAATTGACTTAAGTTCAGTTTCCATCTTGATTCCAACAAATTATAAATGGCAGTATTCCCTGAAAAATCTAAAAGTCACCCTAATTCCAAGAACTTATTTTGATTATTACCCTGATAGCAAGAACTTCCAGAACTGGGGTGCAAATTAGGTTCAGCAGGGGTGTCATAGCTTCATAGGCATAAATACCAAGCAAGAGAATGTGCTACCTATATAATAGAGTTGGATGGGGGTTTCGGGGGAGGGGAGAGAGAGAGAGAGAGAGAGAGGCGCCAAAGGAGGAAACCATCTCCATGCATGAACTCCAAGAGTTGTGTGTCTGGCTACAACTTTAAAAAGGCCCCCTTATATCTGAAATGTTGCTATTAACAGATAAAGTTATTGAGTCTCCACAGTACCCATTAGTGGTGTAGATAATTGTTTCCTTCACTTAACATTCTAAAAGCTTCATAATAACAAAAATACCCCTTATACCAATGTTTAAATAGAAAAACTGTAATGGCCACACTAATCAACAACTCAAAAATGATAATTTAATCAGGCTTCAAACATAAAAACAAGCTTTTATCCCAATATGATCTAATCAGATTTCAGAGATATCAGAATTCAGACTTCCAAATGCCACCGAAGTCAAAAATGAGAGAATACAACTAATTATAGAGGGGCAATGTTCCTTTTAAAAAAGAAACCCTAACCTTAGCTAGTTATCCAAATAACCTAATAAACAATACAAAGCATTGGGTTCAACAACAGAGGCAATGTTCCTTTTACAAAGAAACCCTGACCTTAGCTAGTTACCCAAACAACCTAATAAAAAATACATAGTATTGGGTTCAACCATAGGCTGAATGAAAAAGGTCTATTGGCCCTTGAGTGATGGAACTAGACCTAGAGAGATAGTAGGGCCTGCTCAGTTTAGCTGGGATTCATCTTCTAGGCTGAGCATGTATCAACAAGTCAGGAATTAGAGATGCTGAAATAGAGTTGGCCCCCCATATTTCGGTTCCCATCATTGCTAGATGAATTCAACCAAAAAAAAAAAAGGATTGTGAGATGAGTGGAATCCACAAGAACAAAGTAGGATTTAAAGTAATGCATTGCACTAAGTTGAGTAAATTCATTTGATCGTTTCAAAATCTGAAAATCACCATCTTATAGGCTGTGTCTTTGAGGACATGGGAAAGGAATGAACTTCAATTCTATTTCTTCCTGAATTCCTCAAATATGAAATGACTACTAGCCCATGGAAGGAATATTGATTCTGTTAAAACTTAGAACCCACAATTTGTGGGCCTTTTTTTCTGTTTCTCTGAACTCTGTGATGCCAAAGAATTGCCCAAAAAATTCACCCTACTCCAAACACAGTAATGCATACCAGCCCACAAATCCAGCCGAAGCCCCAATCTCAACTTGATTAAACAGACATAACCATCTCTTTTAGGCCCTAGGGCCCCCTTTGGGGTTTAAAGTGAGGTGAATTTGAGTGCTTATTGGGCATTCTTTTGCTTTGGTGAAATTGCATCTTTTCCTATTTTCTTTTTTAATATTTTTTTATTTATTATCAAATGATACCAAAGAGTATTCTAGGAAAATGTTCAGAAGACAATATTTTATTTCTTTTTCAGTTTTTGTTTATTTGTCTTATTGGGTTGCTTGATTAGCAAGCTAGGATTAAGGTCTTTTTTGAAGAGAACCTTGCTTCAAGGCACTGCAAATATCTCTATATGGAAGCATGCTGCACCATACAGCCTTAGGGAATTTGTAATCAGTGTTAGCGTAGGGGTATTTCTGTCTTTATACCTTAATTGATGTTGCTGATCTGTAATGTTGTGTTGAAACATGTGCTCTTAACTTAAGTAAGGGCACATAGGTCTTTTCAGTTA